TATAGAGAAAAGTGACTTAGAGCTCTGTTGATTGGCAGTGATTAAGTTGGAGTAGTACTGTGATTTGGTGCTGGCCATGGAGTCCTTATAGTGCATAATGTGATTATTGTACATTTCTATCTGTATAGTAAGACCAGTTTTTCTGTAAAGTCTTTCAAGTTGCCGTCCTTTGGTTTTTTATGCTTCTAAGATTTGGGGTGTACCAGGGGGAGGAGACGGAGAAAGAAACAAATCTATTTTTTAGAGGAGCAAGTGAGTCAAGAATATTATGGAGACCAGTGTTGTAGTGAAAAACCAGATCATCAGGGGTTAGTAGATTATTGAAGTCAAGGAACTGGACAAACACTAGCATGAACTTGACTCTGATATACAGTATTATGGATGTAATTTTTTTGGGGGGAGAGACTTTTTACAGTGCAAAACAATGTTACACTACAGTACACAGACACTCGTCAAGCACTAGGACCGAGCAGAAAACTACAGCTCAAGCTGAAGTCTGCTTCCCTGAGTTTAGAATGCCTACAAGCACCTGATCGGCCCTACATCCTTTCTAGTGTGATTGACGTCACCTCTGTTACTCCTAAGAATCTCACTTTAAAACATCTGATGCGCCGAAGAATTGGGCCTGTGATTTGAGTGTCACAGGGATGCTTAAGTCCTATGAGCCACCATGATTAGAATTGTAGGGTCGCAAGTCTTTTTCTCTGCTTTCTGATACAGTACGTTTTGGAGTTTTTAAATATCTTAAACTGTCCAAGAGTTAACGGTTTTGGAGAAGAACGTGGGTCTGAAAACAGACAAGGGAATCTACTACTTTTGGTTGGGCATTTGTTCTTCACTTGGGTCACGTAATCTAGAAGGGTTTTAATATTAGATGTATTAATTTACACGAAAATCTGAATCAGTGTCATGTGTTTGGTTATTAAAAATACAATCTATGAATTTGGTTTTACATATTCAAGCTCATAATAACTCTAAAACTATGGGTTTTTAATCTTCTTGGATTGTACAGTAGTACAAAAGTGCACTGCAATTAGGGAGCCTTTTGCCCTTCTGGCAAATTTGCCTACTGTTCAAATTGCTTTCGCTGGCCAGGCAAATTTCAAGGCCCAGAAACAGCAGATGAACACAGTTAAAACTTTGTAGACAAATTATTACAAGATTTAGTTCTACCCAGTTGGATAGCCATTGCTTTGGGTAATACAAACTATTTATATCTCACTACCAGCACCATGTCATTCATTTATCTTATCTGAAATACAGGTCATGGTGTCATCTACCAGTTAGGAGCATATTGATTATTAGTATATGTCATCCACTTACAAGTGGTAACCTCTCTTATTTCCATACTTTAGTATTTCCTAGTATCTGTTGGGATCCTGAGGCTTGCCCACCAGGGGGCGCCGAGGATCCCTTCCTGAGGGGTTGTGTTACTGTTGGGATCTGGGGGTCTGTCTACCTTTCTCCACCGGAGGGCGTACTGGATCTCCTGAGGCTGGACCTGACTTCACCACCTGTTCCTCATCTGCTCATCATGAGACCAGTACTTAAGAGGGCTGAGGACCTCACTCCGGTGCCAGAGT